GTCGCCAGTTTGTGGTACAACAACCACGCGTCCGATTTTGCCACCTGGTCCGATTTCAAGACCGCAATCGTCAACGTCTTCGGCCGCCCTGCTGTTCGCAAGCTGCAAGCCGAGCAGCGCTTGCGTGAACGGGCTCAGGAGACTGGTGAGTCATTCACCAGCTATATTGAAGATGTCCTGGACCTATGCAACAAATCCAATCACACCATGCCCGAGTCTGACAAGATCCGAAACATCATGAAAGGCATCGACGATGATGCCTTCACGATGCTGCTCGCCAAAAACCCCGGCACGGTGGCTGAGGTCATCACACTGTGCCAGAGCTACGAGGAGCTCCGCCGGCAGCGTTCGATGACCCGACGCTCCCCACCACGAGCTGCAACGCTTGCTGGCTTGGAGGCCAGTTGTGACCAAGTGGCGTTGATGGCAGAACTGAAGTCCTTTATCCGTGAAGAAATCGCGCGTCAGTTCTCCCTCCTGCCCTTTTCCCACCAACCTACTGTTCAACAATCGGCTACTACCCTTCTCCCTCCCATCCGCCGAGCGATTGAACAGGAAATAGCGGAGGTAATGCCTGCTTACCACCCCCAACAGCCTCCGGCTCCTGCGTCCCTGAGTTACGCGCAAGTGGTCGCCAGGCCACCCCAAGTCGTTCAAGCACCCGCCCCTCTGACCTACGCTAAAGCTGCTGCACGACCTCCGTCCGTTGCAGCGGGTGTGCCCGCTACGTATGTTGACGTAACCCCTCAGCCTCAGCTTCAGCCCACCACGCAGCCACCGTTCCGTCCATCAGCCCTTGCGACATGGGTGAGACCTAACCCAGTGAACAGATGGCGCACACCCGACAACCGGCCCATCTGCTTTGCCTGCGGTTACGCCGGTCACGTGGCCCGTTATTGCCATCGCGTACAGCCGGCTCCAATTTCTTCACCTGTTTCTGGCCAACTCAGCCGTCCTTATCGCGAAGAACCGCCGTCTATGCCACCTCGATCTCGCCCAGGTCCATCTCGAAGATCACCGTCTCCACGACGCCGTTCCCTGTCTCCCATGCGGCCAAGTGTGGCATCTCATGAGCGGGAAAACTAGTCGCAGTCCCTGAGGCAAGGACTGCGACGCTATCGCAATGTGAAAGCCCTCAGAGCAGCCCCTCGAATGTCATTGACGTGCTTGTGGACGGTGTTTGTGCATCGGCTCTTATTGACACTGGAGCTGCCGTATCAGTTATGGACGAAAAACTCTGCCGCTTACTTCGAAAAGTGACGACGCCACTTTCTGGGTTATCCCTCCGTACTGCGAGTTTGCACCGGATTCATCCTACAGCAGGGTGCACAGCTCGCGTTGTCATCCAGGACGTTCTGTATGTCGCCCAGTTCATCGTCATTCAGGCATGCTCTCATGACGTCATCCTGGGATGGGACTTTCTCTCCCGCCATGACGCCGTCATCCATTGTGCCGCTGCCGAAATTGAGCTCTCACCCTTCTCGCATTTGACGCCAGAAGACAGTCCCCCCGACACTGAGCAAGATTCTAACGAGAGACGATACAACAGTGCCTCCAAACTCGACGACGGCTGTGTCTGTCTACTGCGCTGGTCTCTCCGACACCATTGGACTTGTTTCGCCATCTGACCGCGCTTGCAGCAGGAAAGGGTTGCTAGTACCTTTCGCGACCGTGCAGGTCAACCAGGGCAACACTGCTATTTTTGTAACCAACCCGTTCCCGTACGCTGTTACCTTGCTTCGAGGGGAATGTCTCGGCAGAGTGGAACCAGTCGACGACGCACAAGTCCTGGACGTACCCGATGACACTCGCGCTCCCAGGTCGTGTACCATCAATGCTGTTTCCACTTCTGATTCGTCGTCTGCTGATGTATTTGGCCCCTCCATCGCTGACAACCTTACGGCCGCACAGCGTTCCCAACTTCTGGACCTGTTACAAGAATATCGTTCTTCTTTCGATGTCGGGCGAAGTTCTCTCGGTCGCACGTCCGTTGTTACGCATCGCATCGACACTGGTGCCCATCCACCTTTACGGCAACGTCCATATCGCGTGTCGCCTGCTGAACGTCGAGTAATTAATGATCAGGTTGACGATATGCTCCGACGCGACGTTATTCGGCCCTCCGACAGTCCATGGGCGTCTCCTGTTGTTCTTGTTGCGAAGAAAGACGGTTCTGTGCGGTTCTGTGTAGACTACAGACGGCTCAATAAGATCACTCGCAAGGATGTTTATCCACTGCCACGCATCGATGACGCGATTGACAGCCTTCATGGAGCCGATTTTTTTTCTTCTCTCGATCTGCGCTCGGGGTACTGGCAAGTACCTATGGCTGACGACGCTCGACCAAAGACCGCCTTCGTCACGCCAGACGGCTTGTACGAGTTTAACGTCATGCCGTTTGGTCTATGTAATGCACCTGCGACCTTTGAGCGCATGATGGACACCATTCTGCGCAACTTGAAATGGTACACGTGCTTGTGTTACCTCGACGATGTCATTGTCTTTGCTCCGGATTTCTCCACGCATCTCCAACGTCTGAAAGAAGATTTCGCACGTGTGAGCAATGCCGGCTTACAACTAAATCTGAAAAAGTGCCGCTTTGCAGCACGGCAACTCACCATACTGGGGTACGTCGTGTCCAAAGACGGCATTCTTCCTGATCCTGCCAAGCTTCAGGCCGTGGCCGAATTCCCCAAACCTGCATCTGTCAAAGAACTGCGTAGTTTCGTGGGCCTGTGCTCATACTTCCGACGCTTCATACGAAATTTCGCCATGATCATATCACCGCTGACGAAGCTCCTTGGAAGCAACGGGCCCTTCTATTCGTGGTCATCCGAGTGCGACGACGCGTTCGCGAAGCTCCGCCATTTGTTGACGTCGCCTCCCATTCTACGCCACTACGACCCTACAGCCCCAACGGAGGTGCACACGGACGCCAGCGGAGTAGGCCTCGGCGCTGTCCTGGCGCAGCGAAAACCCGGATTCCCTGAATATGTCGTAGCATATGCAAGCCGTACGCTCACGAGAGCCGAGAAAAACTACACCGTCACGGAGAAAGAGTGCCTGGCGATCGTCTGGGCTCTTACAAAGTTTCGACCTTATTTGTATGGTCGCCCATTCGATGTCGTCACCGACCATCATGCACTATGCTGGCTTTCATCAATGAAGGATCCGTCAGGCCGTCTCGCCCGTTGGGCTCTTCGCTTACAAGACTACGATATCCGCGTGCTGTACCGCAACGGACGCCAGCATGCTGACGCCGACGCCCTCTCGCGCTCCCCTCTGCCTGAAGGTGATGTGCTCTGCTCAGTATCCTCGGCTGCTGTTTCTGCCATTGATGTTGACATCATCGCTACCGAACAGCGAAAGGATAATTGGATCGGCCCGCTCATCGACATGCTCTCTGATCCATCCGCAACGCCATCCACGCGTGCATTGCGTCGTCAAGCTCGCCATTTCACCATTCGTGACGGCCTCCTACACCGACGCAATTACGACGCCGACGGCCGGCAGTGGTTACTCGTGATACCCCGCAGTCTGCGGTCAGAGATATGTGAATCATTCCATTCTGATCCGCAATGCGCGCACTCTGGGGTATTCAAAACCTACCATCGCATTCGACAACGCTACTTCTGGCGCGGGATGTACCGCTATGTGCAGCAGTACGTTCGCTCTTGCCTCACTTGCCAACGCCGTAAACCGTCAGCCCACATGTCTCACGCCAGTCTACAACCGTTACCTTGCCCTGACCGTCCCTTTGGGCGCGTAGGTATCGATTTGTATGGACCACTTCCTCTGACGTCGGCTGGTAACCGCTGGGCCATCGTTGCCGTTGACCATTTAACGCGATACGCCGAAACCGCCGCTCTCCCTGCGGCTGCTGCGCGGGATGTTGCGTCCTTCCTGCTGCATCGATTTATACTGCGCCACGGACCACCTCAAGAGCTTCTCAGCGATCGAGGCCGTGTCTTCTTGTCAGAAGTCGTCGAAGCCATTCTGACGGAGTGCCATTCTGTCCACCGCAAAACTACTGCTTACCACCCACAGACGAATGGCCTCACCGAACGCTTTAACCGCACCCTCGGCGACATGCTTTCTATGTACGTCGCTGCCAACCACACTAATTGGGATAATATACTGCCCTTCGTCACCTACGCCTACAACACCGCCCCTCAGAGCACGACTGGTTTTTCACCTTTCTACTTGCTGTACGGAAGGCACCCGTCGCACACCATGGACACGATACTCCCGTACACGCCGGATCCATCTGAGTGTACACCTATTTCCGAGACAGCCAGGCTTGCTGAAGAGTGTCGCGAGCTTGCCAAGACTTTTACGACGCAAGATCAAAAGCGGCAGAAGAGTATCCGTGATGGCTCCACCACTTCTGAGCCCATGTTCCTTCCTGGTGCGCTTGTATGGCTCTCGACCCCGACCTCTGCCGCTGGCCCCTCTTCCAAACTACGTCCCAAATACGAAGGCCCCTACCGTGTCATCGAGCGCACCTCACCCGTCAACTATCTGATCGAACCCGTTGAAATATCTTCGGACATGCGCCGCCGTGGGCGAGACATCGTCAACGTGGAGCGCCTGAAGGCTTATTATGACCCGCTAATAATAACAAGCTGTTAGGTCGCCAGGCGGCTCCCTCTTCGACCCCGGGGTAATTGTAGCGAAGCCTCCGAACTATGAAATGGGTCGAACTCTTTCGTACCTTCTAGTGGGGCTACCCAACAAGGACGCCGCTCGCGCTGAGAGCCCGTGCTTTGCTGTGACTGTCGCCATTGCATATTCTCGCTCGTTGCCGGCTAATAAACGCCTTAACACCTCCAACAGTACGCAAGAGCTGCGTCGCACAAGCGTTCCGGTGCTATCTGCCGGGTCAGCTTATTTGTTTCGTAGTCCGGTGTACAAAAGATAAGCAGCCTTTCAAACAGATACCAACTTCGTGGGGCTTCCCCGGGTTTTCCTGGGTTTGCAAAGGAGTTCCAATAGCCGCCAGTATAAATAAATCTCTCCCGTACTGTTCATGAAGCGAAATCACAGGACAACTGCAGAAGCTACTGCTGTCATCTGCGAAGGTAATTGCCGACGTCTAAGAACTTACTCTATGGCCAGCTCATTTAGATTACTTAAGATGCAAAGTTTTTTAGGTCCCACTGTACTAGCATCCCATAAGCTATATTGTATTGGGCGCAAATTTCTTTTAAATGTAAGACGAAATGTGCCAGGTATTGTCATGAATGTTGTCATCCATGAACTTTCTATATTTTTACTATTAAACCATACTGCAGAAGTTCGCCATGAAGCCTGTTATGTGGCTCACGCCCTTCGCCCTTACAGCGTTAACGTGTAAGTAATATCCATTACTCGTTTCTTTTTTTTTTGCTTCCGAACTATACGAACGCTGCTTGTTACAACCGAAGGTAAATTGGACACACAAACAAATGGTACCCATAAGATTGGTTATATGAGACACATTTTCTTAACATTATTTAAGGTTCTAGGAATTAGAGTAGCTCAAAGCACTAGTACACTGACATAATGGAAAAAAATCTGTCGATAGACATATGAGAGCATGGTCTAGAAAACACCCTTTAAGAAACACAAAAGAAAGGCTACCTGATTTTTGTTGTTCAAAGCCGATTGTAGATTTCTGGCTTGCGAAAGTTAGCATCCAAAGTAGTCAAGTATGCAAGGCGGCTTTTTTTTCAAACATCCAGAACAGACATGAACCGCAAATTCAGATTTACCGCCCAAATATTTGAAGCATATTGCAACATGTCATTTTCAATATTAGCAATAAATATTATTTTTCTGAACGTTATTACTGTTGAAGAAAAGCATGGTGCACTTATATATTTACTGAGCAGTGTACTTATGAATGTTGACGACGTGACGCTGCGATGAATAAGTCACCCTAATCGGCCCGAATACGAATGTTGGGTATAATTCAGTGGTTTTGGTTTAGAAAAATTTCAAATTTTCTATTTCTTTTGCAAGCATAGATATAAGGCATAAATAGTATCCCTGTATATTGCCCATATATGACTACGGTTACTTTTTGAAAGCCCTTGCAAACTTCCAGTTCTAAACTGACAAACGGTAAACCATTGTTTGGGAGCCTAACGTATAAACACAGCCTAAAAACGCCAATGAGGCCTACTTCGTTCGAAACAGTTTTGTTTTTCTTCAAGCTAACATGACTGCATAATATCTTTCTTTATAGGTTTCAGCGCATATTGATAGGGAAAGACATAAAATGCTCCTCTATCTTTATCTAAAAGTGGTGTGAACGACTGCGATTACATATGCTGTTTTTTCTCTCTTTCATTTTTATTACAGGCGCCGCCATAGTGTAAGTGTATTCTTATTTTAATTTATTTCTTGAAGTTTTAACTCATATTTAGCTGTATAGCAGCGCAGTGGTTACAACACCGTATTTGACAATTTGATTTCACTTCGTAGTGTTCCCGCCAGTGAGGTTAGGGCATCAGCATCATTTCAAGGTAAGAACGAAACCACGCCTCTTTTCAAGATATAACCAAAAATCTGAATTTAAGTGTTTAAAAACAGCAAACGACGATAAACATACGAGGCAAGTTAGTCTCCAAATAAAACTTCTGCAAAACGTTTTAACGAGCCGTCATGATCATCGCATGAAAGTGGTTTTCAGCAAACTCATCTCTTTTACAAAGCCTTAATATTGAGTTTGAAATTTTTTGTTTATATTTTACTTCAGCAGTTCGTATGCGGCAAACCATTGTCAAGTAAATTCATGTCGTAATATAAACTGGCCATCATAAGGATGCCGCATCCGATTTTCATAAACGCGAGCATATCGATAGTGTTCTGAAATAATAGTTAGGATTGAAAACCGTTTGAATCAACAAAAACAATAATTAATGACCCCTAACAATAGCTATGTGTGATTTCTGTGATCGTATTGTGTAGAACCAAAGTATTTTCGGGCTTAACAGGATAGCGATTCACCGCGGTTCACTTTTGACCATCTATATTTGTCAAACGTGGGCATGAAGGTCAATAAGTAGCTGCTGTTGCATTTAGCTTTCACTGTTATGCGGCATAATTGATCTAGATCGAGCGAAACTCATGTATTTGTCGTTAGGCTACGATGGTGGTGGAGGCATTCCTATTAGCCGTTTTATTAATACCAGAAATAGGAAATGCTGATGGTCTTAGCTCCCATTGTCATAATGTTAATTGATGCATCACGTTTTTCCTTTACATCATATTTTACTTGCAGAAAACAAAGAAGCCATAGTAAAAGCAGGCAGGAAACTAGAAACTCTAGGGAATGTTCTGCAGGGGAAAGTTCCTGAAAGCAACGCCGACGCACTGCGAGATCTGACTGACGCACTCGAAGCCCTCGCCGCTGGAGGCAATGCTTTGGATAAAGAGTCGTCCGAATACTGGGTTGGCGTCATCATTCGTGGAATAGCCGGGGGTGCAGTCGCCCACGGCATTGACAAGTGGAAGAAGAGGAAGGGATAATAAATAACATCCGAGATTTTCTGAAAATAAACTGTGTTCACATCTGTTTCACGTGGTCCCTGTATTTTCGCTTGTGCTTGGCCGGAGGGTTTTATGTCCCTTCGGTTTGAAAACAAAGTGATACGTATATAAAAAACTATGAGGAAGAAAGTTAAAGAAGATATAGTCTCACTGCCAGGACGAAGCGACGAATGCGACAGCAAGAAATTTGATTGCAACATAAAGAACAACAAGCAGCTCAATAATTACAGTTTGTCGCTAAAGCACAAACGCAGACATTTGAAATGAACACGCAGTTATACAAAGTACACATGTGAACTAACGCCCGTGACAGTGTTGTTTGAGCAATGCGACTAAAGAGCCGAGAATGCAGAACTCGATGCTCTGAGATATATCTTTTTGTTTTCAAGTGGGGCGCATGAATGTTGAGTGACTCCTTTGTGTCTCCTGCCGGACCCACGTTGGCGTCTGACGCAAACCGTACCCCATTTTCTTTTTTTTCGTTTCGTACAATGATTAAGTACAGAAAGGGGCCACGTTTCCTTGTCCACCTGAATGAAAGTTTTACTGTGATAACAACTAAATGAACACTCTCGGCTGGATTTGGCCGCCGTCGTTTGCGTCAACGTTGGTGTCACCGTCACTCACCGTATCTGTATACTTATCACTTCACTTCACTTCACTTTAATATTTTAAAGACCCCTAGAGGGGGTATTACATAAGGGGTGGGAAACATACTACAAATGTAATACATATGCAGGATGGGTACAAGTATCAACAGAGTAACTAATACAGAAATAAAATAGTACATGAGCAGGATCACTATAAATATTAACAGGCGTAACACCTTGCAAAAAAAAGAAGACAAAGTGAGAACCAGTGGCACAAAAAGGAAACATGTAATGTATTCAAGTTGAAAAGAAACGAGTGACATTTTGTGTAAATGTTGAGTGGCACATTATGGGGGCGAGATCAGTGGAAAAGCCATTCCAGTCGGAAGCTGCACGAAAAAAGAAGGAGGCGGAAAATGTCATGGTACTGGCACGTAGCAGGCTGACATGAAAGGAATGAGTGGTGCGGTGAGATGTGCGGGCAGGAGGCAAGATATAGGGCGGGTGCCCGAGTTGACTGTGGTAGAGCTTGTGGAACAAAATGAGGCTGGCAACTCGGCGACGAATGTTAAGGTTTGCAAGATTAGATTCTTGTTTAAGAGACGAAACACTAACGTTATACGAATACAAGGATTGAATGAATCTAGCTGCTCGATTCTGGAATGATTCTAGTGCTTCGGTTAAGTACGCTTGATGAGGGCTCCAGATAGGCGAAGCGTATTCAAGTTGGGTGCGAAAAAAAGCTTTATAAGCTTGCAGTTTTACAGCAGGGGGAGCATGACGTAAGTGCCGCTTTAAGAATCCAAGCGATCTGTTAGCTGATGATATGATATTGGTAATGTTGACGCGCCATGATAAATTGTTACTCAAAGTCAACCCCAGTACTTGTATGTGATGACGTTTTCAAATGCAACTTTACCGATTTGATAAGAATAGAATATAATCTGTATATATATAAAAATGAAAGAAATTCAGAAAAAGACTCCGGTGCGTAGAATCAAACTTGGGTCCCCTGAATCCAGTGTTCAAGGCGTTAACTACTGAGCCATAGAGAAGCACGTCTTTTAACGTTGAAACGGCAAGCTATCTATATCTAGCACTTACCGCTGCTGACGGGCATCTCGAAGGGGGGGAACGCCGTTTTTCAGCATTACGAGCAAGGTGGTGCAATAAGCGTGGGTTGCGACATCGTCACGACACGGCGGCCACGCTTTCATACCCAACGCGCACTCAGCCCCGCGAAGAGCATGGGCTCAGCGCTCATCGCACGTCCTTATTTCACGGAAAGGAAGATAGTACGTCTTGGTTGGCGTTCTGCTTTTACCGGAACAACTATGTTTCAATCACCGGGCGCACAAAGGTCACCGCAATCATCGCACAGTCTATGTTGTCGAAATAAGCGCACTTTTCAGACACAGTGAAGTAACAACTAAGACGCTTATTCACTTTTATCTGTACCTGATTGTACGCTTCGTGCGTCATTTTTGCGTGAGAAACGTGTGGCACCAATTGATCTGCTGGTCATTCTGTGCGTGATTTTCCAATTCGTTGCTATCACGTTCATTGCTTAACCTGTGCGACAGAAATTTGACTCTTTTAGTTAAGTGAAATTGAAAGCATTGCGGCAAAGGAAACATGCTCAAGCTTTTGTAAGAACTGTTCACCAGAAGCAGTAAATGTGTTGTATGAATTGCTCGGTGTTATAAGGCCGGAAAAGTACTTGCACGCGGGAGAAGAGGGTAAGTATGTTAGTATGTATATTTTAGAAGCAAGTACTCACAGTTCACGTTCCAAACTACGTGGCATTTGGTTATCCCTTTTAAAGATATCTTGTTCTAGGCAACCACGATATTGTAAACGGTACGTGTGTGTCAGGACTTCGATCAGACCTTTATAAAGTCTATATTTTGTAATAGTATCGGGTTCAAAAAGAAAACATCTGTGTGCCTTAGGTAAAGTATTTCCCACCATGAAAAAAATGAAGAATGTCGAACACGCCTTTCTAGAGTGCTGAGATGCGGAATTTTTCTGGGAAGTGCACAAGCGCATTAAAAAATAACTTCCTTTGGATTTTTATGGTATAAGGCTAGTGCCAATAGAAAGGCTACATGACACAGAAATAATTATGGGTCTTCATGAATTGCAGAAAACGTGTATGGAGGTACGCCATCCTGTTGTGTATGTAATATCTGCGAAATATCAGTTAATTGTCAGTGTTGTGACTGCCAAGAAATTATCCAGCTGACGGTGCTAGTATATTTGACATTCCTCAGGTTATGCGAAAGCTCTAGATTGGACTGCGTTGCATCAGTATACCATTTAGGCCTTTGTGCATATTTTGATGGTACTGTAGCATTGGCACCAATCAATAAAGAAAAAAATCACAGCATGTATTGAATGCACTACTGACAGGAGTGGGTGGAGAAACAGACAGACAGACAGACAGACGGACGGACGGTTGAATGCGCAGACGGACGCTTCGCCCCACTTATTATTATTCACTTCATGTAAGGTGGAGGATGGACGCAGCATGGAAGAACGACAGACCAGGTAATGCCATAAGGAGTTTTGCCCTTAAACAATTGCATGGCGGTGAGTTGTCTGACGCAGCGTGTTGTGGAGTGAGGGATCGCTGGTTGGAATCTCCGGTCGGGTGCTCGGATATTTTTAGATACGAAGCATCTCATAGGCGAACTTCATGGGGTAACATCCGCGCTCCTCTACGCATACACCTGCCTCACACTGTCATCACCTGCGCACGCCCCCTCTTTCGCTTCGCAGCGCTGACGCAGGAAGCGCCTCATAATGAGTTTCTTCATTGAGGAAATTGACTGCTTCCGCCCGCTCAAGTGTTCGCTGGCCAGCCCGTATATATATACATGGGATCTTGGCAACCTAATTAGTGCCGAGGAGAAATTTTTCCTGTGCGTAGTTGAGCAATAAAAACTTGAAGAGTGCACGTTAATAAAAAGCGGACTGTGGAACTGTGTGTCCAATTAAAGCCTTCTGTTTCTCATTACCCATTTGCCGCAATTATCATGTTCCTGCAGGAAAGATCGGTTCATCACTGCGTGGCTATGCGTCTCCCCAGGTTTCTCTCCTGCGTAACGCCGTGATGAGCGCCAGTGTCAACACCACCGCCAGAGGAAGCGTTAGCACGCGCTGCTTCACCCATACACATGGCTACCAATAGCGAAAGATGGTGTAATTTTTATTCAGTGTTTTATGTGAGTATTTCGTATGCATACACGTGTCAAATATATCCGGGACATGACGACAATGCCAAGTGCAAAAATTAGGCGAAAGTGTCCGTAAATAACATATCACAATGATGAGCATATTGCGAAGTAATAATCATGGATTGCATTTCTGGAGCACATGACGCTGCTTGGGTGATTTTACATAAAACGCCAAGAGATGGTCTACAACGTGAAGAGAGGAAACATGGTTAGCAAGCACTTCACGTTCGTGCTCCTTGTCCGGTCTTGCAAAATTTTTCATCGGTGTATCTATGAAATTTTTAACAATTAAGACGACAAGGTATTACACTATCGGATAACATGAAGCCATTAACGGATATCACCACGTGGGAGCCTCACATGTATTCACATTTACACAGTCTTGGGCCACTGGAAAAGTTGTGATAACCTATGAGAACACCATCTATGGTTTTCTGCCTGAAAGTACGCTGACTTGCACAGTAAACATTTTTACATGAAGACGATATTTATTATATCACTGAGGAATAAAACAAGCAAGGTATGTATAAAGTAACGCTTTTAAAATCAGTGTGATGTTTTATTTCACATGTCTTAAACTGTTATCAAGCCGCTTATACGAAGAATAATGTTGATATCCATGTGTACAGTGGTACATAAATTGTGAAATATAGTCTTTATTTTAGAGCGTCCAGTTTATTGCCTATCCACTAACCAGAAAGTGTATCACATCAAAGCGTTCCTGCTTAGCAAACGGAAATAACTGGTCAGAGCAGAAGCTCTGAAGACATGATTGCCATGCTCATTATGACACGAATTGCAAAACCGTTGATGAAGACCACCTTTTGAGAAAGTCAGGAGCGCAGCCATAGGCTGGCGGCTTGAAACACCGAAAAATTTCAGTTTTGCTTGCGTATATGTAAACGCACACATACAAATGCACGCACCGCACTCATAAAGCTTGGCTGTACACTCTTGCCCCCTCCCTTACAATGAAAGCTGTTACGAGATCACCACATAGGCAGCGTGCGGCGCGTAGTTGTCCACCGACGTCAGTGTCCATAACCAACATCAATAGAAAGAAAATAAAATCTGTAAATAAAAAACTCCAAAGGCACCATGGAATTTGAACCCAGGCCCACTGTGTGCCAGCCCAGTATTTTGCAGCTGAGCCATGCTATTCTATTATTTCGGTATAAACTTCACACATGGCAGGGT